GGCAGCATCATCCTCGGGGAGTCTTGAGAAAAACTACTTGAGTGTTGACTTGGACATCCTTGCAACGGAGAGTCAAGCAGCTTTGGAAACATATGAATGACGTTGACAATTGAAGTGTTTTTGATGGTGTCAGGGTAAGGAGAGTTTCTTCCCCTGCTTCTAAAGCATTCAGCACTTCAAATAATTTCATCGATACTTCATATATAGTAGTAGTTTACCATAGTTTACCTAGTTTTAGCAACATGATTTAGCAACATGTTTTACTATTTTGTTTACAATTTAGTAGCCAATTTTTGTCATTTTCCGTTTTGTTCATGTCGTGTTTCTCTGCCGTGTTCGCACCTCATCAGCTGTTGCAGCTCGAGCTCCTACGTGGAACATATCACATATCGAGCTGCGCGCCTTTCAAGGGTCCCAAAGTCCAAAACTACATGTGTGTTGAAAACATGTTTAAACACATACGCCACTTGTGTTGAAAAACAGCATGTTAAAACATGTCTAAAACTGCATCCAGGATTAAACCATTACGATTCATTCAAATTTAGCTTCATTAAACATCCAAAGAAAACAGATTTGCAATTAGATTTGCATAGATTTGCGCTTGGATCTTAATGCAGTGCGTATTGAACATCCATCCTCCAATGCTGTTCTCTGCGCAGTGCACCTCGCTGCATTCGATCCAGCGCTCCTCGCCGCCTGAACACGTGTTTCTTATGACAGCCATGTGCCAAATCTCAAACCATGCGGGCCATGCTCATTCCAGCAAGAAATTTGCGGAGTTTTCTGCACTATTCGGCATTTACATCATCTACTGCGGTCTGATATGGTCTGCCAATGCCTTCGGAAATCACCGTCTGTACTAAGTTGTCATCGAAGAAAATGTTTGGGTTACAGATCTCCATTGCTTAAAGAAACTGGGGATCACCAGGCTATTCACAAAAAAAACAATGTGAAACAAAGTGAACCCATTTGAAATAATATGAAACAATATGAGTCAATATGAAACAACGTGAAACAATATGAAACAAAATGAAACACTATGAAATAACATAAAACAATTTGAAACAATATGAAACATGAAACATTATGTCTGAAACCATGTAACAATATGAAACAATGTGAAACCACATGAAACAATATGGATCAATATGAAACAGAATAACGCAATACGAATGCAACAATATAACGCAAAATGGAACCATATGAAACAATAGGAAACAACATGAAACAAATTGAAACAATATGACACAATATGTATAAAACAATATGAAACAACGCAAAACCATACTAACTATATGCAACAATGTGGCACAATATGCATGAAACAATATGAGACCATATGAAAAAATATGGATCGATATGAAACACTATGAAACAAAACGAACCAATATATATATATATATGAGACTATATGAAGCAAGAAGAAACAACATGAAACAATATGTATTATACAAACTATATGAAGCAAAATGAAACAAAATGAAACAATATGTATCAATATGTATGAAACGATATGAAACAAGATGAAACAATATGTATGAAACGAAATGCGCAAAGCGGTTCTGTTTGGGAAGTGCTTCTCTTCTGAATAATATTAGTCTGGCCGTGCCTTGGAGCTGCAGCCCTTGGTGGGAAGTGCATTTTAACGGCGCACTGTGCACAGAAGCGTAGCTCTATACGATTGAAAATGTCGCAAACCCGCGCATAAATGAGAATCAATGATTGAAAAAACATTCAAACAAAACACATCATTTAAACACATCCAGTATACGTCTCTCTCTATCTGTATATACATATATATATATATATATTGTATATATATATACACATTCATATTTAAACAATATTTTTTTCCGTGATGTTCAAAGTTTCTGAGCTCCTTTGCCACCAGCGGTTTTGATCGATAGCAGAGGGGGTTCTCTGGTGCCAGTAGTTGTAATTTTTTAATTTTGTTGTGTTTGCCGTGGCCGTGACTGTTTGTGCCACTCGCGGGAATACAGGAATACAGCTACTGTATGTTACTGTATATTGAGTTGTTGATGTTCATGATGCTCTCCTTCCCCTTCTCCTGCTCCGCTTCCTTCTTCTTCTGCCTGCTGTTGCTGTTGCTGTTGCTGTTGCTGTTGCTGTTGCTGTTGCTGTTGCGGCTGTTGCGGCTGTTGCTGCTGCTGCTGCTGCTGCTGCTGTTGCTGTTGCTGTTGCTGTTGCTGTTGTTGTTGTTGTTGCTGCTGCTGCCGTTGCCGCCGTGCTGCTGTCGCTGCCGCTGCCGCTGCCTTTGTCGTTGTCGTTGTCGTTGTCGGTGTCACTGTTTTCGCAGTGTCTGGTTCAGAACGCATTTACAGCAACGCAAAAATTACTCATTCTGTACCGTACCACTGTCGATTGCAGTCATTGAAGTTTCGAAAGCCCAAAACATGGTTGTTTTTGATACCAAAGCAACTCGACATTGAGAAGGGAAGACCTGTAGATCTCCATCGCATGTTTTAAGAGTCTAGGTGAATGCTACAGTGCAACCGGTTGTAAAAATTGGAGTGCAAAACTATTGAGAAGCAGCCATGCTCTGTATACTCTTCACCGCATTTACCTAAAATCTTAACTTGTTGGAGCAGAGCGTCAGACTTCGTAGACTCTTGTGGAAACAATTTGTGCACTGAGATTCCAGCTGCTTTTGCTCCTTTTCCTCCTACACAGGGGGGCAATGTTATGCAGACAGCAGACATGATGTATCTTTTTGTATGCAGGTGCTTCTCGCAAACCCCACAACAGAAATCATTTCCGCAATCAAACTCGAAACCGGATCTCCAGCAGCAAGATACATGCGATTTGAAGCACTCTGTCTGAGTGATGTTTGTTCGAGGGTAGCGCGCACTTGCATGCACTTGCATGCTCTGAACGCTGGCTGCAAAACTCGTTGGCTCATTCAGGTTCCGTTCACACGATCACGCCATCATGTTGCCAGTGTAGAATTTTTTCAAGAAACTTGCAGATGATACATCTACAGTAATAGTGCCAGGTTGGAGCCCGATATAAGAGCTTTTTGTGATTCCATCATATTCCGTTGAAGACGAGGCCATGCCCCCAAAAAAATCAAAGCAGAACAAACTAAACCAGCAAGCAAAACCAACCAACCAACCAACCAAGCAGACCAACAAAAAACCAAACAAAAGAAGTAAACACTACATAAAGCAGGTACAGAGAGACAGCGAGAGATGGGCACAGAGAGAAGGAGAAGGAGGGGGGGAGAGAGAGAGAGAGAGAGAGCGAGAGAGAGAGAGAGAGAGAGAGAGAGAGATAGAGAGAGATAAAGAGAAAGATAAAGAGAAAAATAAAGATATAAGTAAAGAGAAAAATCAAGATAAAAATAAAGAGAAAGAGACTCAGAGCCCAAATCACCTTTCGGTCCATCCGTGGGTTCGCTCTGCCATCCATGCATCACAACAACTCACCTCTCCTATAGGTTTCCTATCTTTGAAACCGCCTTGTGCGGTACTACTGGTAAGATACAATAAGATACAATAAGCAGTAAATATGAGACATATTTCTGCGCAAGGACATCCCAATGTATCAACGTGCTGCTGCAGTCGTATCCTCTTCTGCAATGGTCTTTGCACGTAAAGCAAAGAAAGCAAACCTTAGACACCAGGCGATTGTCTCTAGGACCCCACTGCCTTTACGTCTATTAGTCTATTAGTCTATCGAAATAAAGCTTTTGGAAACCTCGGTTCACTGTCTTAAGAAAAGATTCTGTACTGTATTAACACTCACAGATTGCAGCAACCTCAGCAACAGCCCATGTCAAGCACATTCAAATTCCTGATACTTTTACTGAAGCTTGCTCTTATCGAGGCTCTTCAAAACCTGTTTCTTGTAAGGACATGTAAGGACTGGTAGCACCTTTGAACTCAAACATCCGTCAGAACATGTCAGAACATGTCACATGTCACATGTCACCAAGTGTGGGGCAGGCCCAAGATCCCGAGTAGGAAGGCCACGCTGAGGGCTGCCAAACCCACGCTTCCGGAATTTCCCGGGTTTCCTGACATGCGTCGGTGATGCAGGGAGCACTACCCATTGGGTGAAAAGAGAAATAGGGCATGTCTACAACCAATATCAACCAATCATTTGGTGCTGGAAAGTTGCTTCGAAAAGCATGACAAGCTGTGAGTCTTTAGGCATGGTACATACTCTGATCGTGCAAGAATGTAAAGCAGCAGCAAAAAGGTGCATTTCCATCGTAAAAATCGTAAAATTGAATTTGGTCATGTCTCTTTGCATGTGAATTGGTTCGGTGTAGAACACAGAAACTGTGCTACATTGATGTGTCAACGTGCGTTAATGTCAAAAGTTGTGTACACTCCGACCTGGAGGCTCTGCCATTGCAGCGCTGCGCTGGCAGTTGCACAACTTGGCCCTGCTTGGCACAATCTTGGCTCCAAGAGAAGTCTGAGATGCCATGATGCCATATAAATCATATAAGATGTTTCTATGATGATAGTCGTGTGATGTTCCCACAGTACGATGTAATGATATTCCCTACGACAATGTTCCCCATGATGTTCGGATACGGAACATGTTCGTATTATGTTCCTGGTGCTCCTGTGTGCCTGCCTTCTCTTCGCATGCAAGGTGTTTGAGAGGTCTGCAAAGTCTGTTAGAGTGTCTAAGATGTCTAAGTCGGCTGACAACTTCAAACTCGATGACACAAAAAGCAGCAGAACATTCAGCGTCAACATCGGCTTCTGTCTAGAGGCAAGGACATAGCGAAGCATGCTGGCATGTCATTCAGCCATTGGATAGCGAACAATTTTTACCACTCGCAGATTGGTCTGAAGCTTTGCTTTCAAGGATCTTTTCCACCAAACACAGAATCCGGCACCTGAAGACTTTAGCAGTCTATGAAGGGCATGCCTCTTATCATCTGCTTGATTCTGCTGAATATTTGTATGTGTTATGTATATATATATATAATTATATATAATATAATTGTATGTGTATATATATATATAGTCAGTCTAGAATATGAGGATCCAAGTGCATCACATCTATGGAAATTCTGAATGTATTGGAGGAGGTCCTGCACGGATGAAGATGCAGCGGAAAAATGTTAAAACAATTCGGTCATGCAATCTTCTCCTCCTTCTCCTCCTTCTCCTCCCTCTCTTCCTTCTCTTCCTTCTCCTCGTTTTCTTCACCTTCAACCTTCTCCTCCTCCTCTTGGCTTTCTAAGCTTTGCGGCGCTTCTGGCAATGCCTTCACATTTGTGTCAGCCTCATCACTGTCTTCGAGACCGAGACCATCATCATAGTAAGTTTCATCAGAGTCGTCCTCTATCTCTTCCTCCTCTAAGGCTGGAAGTTCTTTCATCATGTGCGTCACATCCTCTGAATCTGTTGGGCCAGTAGCAACAAAACCTTCGGACTCGTACAGTTTCTTCGCTGGACCATAGTTGTCAATGTGAAGGTACATCCGTTCATCTTTCCAAATGAATCGAACAACATCTTCTGCCAACGCCAGCATTGCACGTCCAATGCCAGATCTTCGGTATGGAAGGCCAACACAGAGATTGCTAAGATATGGTTGTCGGGTAGTCCCCTCTTGCATCTTGCCATTGTCAGTCTCCGGTCTGCGCCCATCATCTGGAAGGATACAAATCTCAACATAAGCGATGAGAGGACCTCCCTGTTTGATTCGTGCCACCAAAGCTACAGTTTGATCTTGCTTGATAGGCCGACGCAGTGATTGGAGCTGCAAAGTCGAATCTAGTCGCATTTGGACTCCATTTGCAATCCCGTTGACTTCATTTTGGTCAATGAAGGCATTTGCATATTGAGCCAAGCCACCAAATGGTCCCATCTTGTCTGCATCCCAACGCTTTTTCTCGAGGGTACGATCAAAGCATTCGACCATTAAAGCAGTGATCTCTGGCAAGTCATTTACATCTGGCATTCCCACCTGCTCAAATCAACCGCGGGCATGAAATCAATCAAAACAAATCAGAAATGCGGTGTTCATATTCGTTCCCCCCTTTGAACATGATTCCTGACCCATTGGGAAAGAGACACCTCATCCTTGACTATTTTATGCAACTCGGGGAAATCTTCCACTTTCGCGTGACCAACGGATTCAACGGCGTAACGGATGTAACGGTTAGATGAACAGAGAATTTGGGCTCTTAAATCTGATGAACACTCCTGAGCACTGTTCAGCGCCTTTTCACTCAGTTAGCTCGAAGGTGGCTAAAAGCACTAAAATGGCTGCAGCACATATACAAACATATGTACTACATGTAACATGGTCTATACTGTACACATATCTGATCACGCCTCCCGAGCCTGTTCGGAGGCACGGTGAGTCCAAGTGTTTTGAACTAGGCGAGTTTTGATATGTACAGCTACGCATAGCCACGACTCAAGCCATCTATGCCTTCAGTGTCAGGTGATGTTCACCTTCCAGAAAGTGAAAGTTCATATTCCGCAGTGCCTTGTTCATTTTCTCCTCTATGACGGGTTTCGTCAAGACGTCGGCAAGCATATCGCCAGTGTCGACCTTCTTCAGCCGAAAGTAGCGCTTGGCAACGCGGTCTTGTACCCAGTGGTATTGAGTATCCACGTGCTTGGCCTTGCCTAATCCTCTACGTGAACCCATTGCTATTCCTGCACTTGCATCCATGAAAACTTCACTCTCAGGTTGCAAACCCCGGTCTTTGGCGGTTGAAACTTCTCCCAGCAAATTGCTGGCACCGCTCACAAGAGCGTAATACTCACTCTCTCCAGACGAAAGACTAACAACTCCTTGTCCTTTAGAATAAGTCTTGATACAACAACCACCGGCCATCAAGACGCCTCCTGACACGCTCTTCCTCGTCTTCACGCATCCAGCGTGGTCAGCATCAGACCACATCACAAATGGACTGAGTTTGTTCTGGTGAGGAAAGAATTGTGCCATGCGTGGTCGATACTTAAGGTATCGTGCAACTCTTTTGAGCATAAGCATGTGGCTGGTAGTTGGTCGTTGTAGCCCTTGTGCTAAAGATCTTGTTGCTACTTGCAAATCTGGTCGGTCTTGTGCCAAATAAGCTGCTCGCATTGCAACTGATCTATACTGGGTTGCTTCTTCATCGTTGAGAAAAACAGCGGCATCCTTAAGATCTTCCACTGATCCTTTGGCAAGTGGTGTCTTGACTTTGGCTCCTCGGGGACCATCTCCGAGTAAATCAATCACCAACTCTGCGTGACGTGCATCTGGTTCCCACCAAATTCCATTCTCCTTCCATGTGATAATTCTGTTCAGGACTCTGATGTCCTGCTGTTGTAAAATCATCTCCATGTACAACAGTTCTGAGGTCTCGGCCTGCATGGTAGTATATGCATGGATTGCTTTTTCCTTGCTTGAAACCTAAGGCCAGCATGACCTTCTGTATCTGCAACTCCCAGTTGAGAGGTGCATCTCTGGTTCCGTACAATGACTTGAGCAATCTTCCTACCACATCTTCTCCAGGCTTCTTTGCTTCTGCAGGAAGCTCCACGTAAATCTCGCGCGTCGCATCTGAATAAAAGTGAGCGCGTTTCACATCCAGGAATCCTAGAAGTCTACGCTTGCGATAGGCTTCCTTGACAGCTTTTCCAGCGTCTGGCAACTGAAACGTGACGGCTATTGTAACTAGCATCTTCAAAGCAGACAAACTGGGCATGGCTGCGAAGAACTCATCAAAACCTGAGCCCTTCTTGACTTCTTGAGCTACTAACCTACTTCTATAAAGTGGATTCTCCTCATCCTGCTTGTTGACATCTACCCATCGTGTTCCAATGGTGCGTACCCCTTTGGGCATCTTGTGTCTGGGAATCTTTTCCCAAACCGGAAAACTTTCAATAATTTCGACCTCATCTTTTCTGGCGTGTTCTACACCTTTGCTGTCCAAAATCTTTCCACTGATATCATCATAATAATACCATGTAACTGCTTCATCTTCCAACTCCGGTGGAAGAGGAATTGTTTCTTCGCAAACTGGCTCTTCCTCACCTTCAATGGACTGAAGATACCTCTCCCGATCTTCCATGATCAGGTTCATAAGACATTGGTCTATATCATCCATGTCATCTGGTCTCTCATTCTCAGGTGGCCGTTTGGTGCCCTTAGACGCCTGAGCTGAAGCAGCTCGGCTGTTTTTGGCTTTTGACGTCTCGCCTCCTGAGTCTGCAGGTCTCTTCTGACCTTTGGTTGGTAACATCCCCAACCTCTTGTGCGACCTTTCTTCTTGCTCGCCTCCTGCTCTCTTGGCTGAGGCTGAGCTTGCACTAGCTCCTACTGGATCTGCAGTTGGATCTTGTACAGCTGGTCTCTGCATTGGACCGGCCGTAGAAGCTTGTACTACTGGACCTGATGTTCCAGCAGTTGGCAAACTTGGCGCTGATTCCCCTGTGGCAGAATACCACAGCTCAGTGTCATCAATCAACGGTGCGTTGATGACGTCTTCTCCTAAGTTAGGATCTATTGGTTCAGACTTAATCATGTCTCCTGTCTTGAACTCTCTGGTGACTCTCCACCAGACGTTATCCCAACTGGGACCTTCTGGCATAGTACCCTTGAGATACCTTGCATTCCTGTCAAGGCGCGCAAACACCTTGAAACCTTGAGGGACTCCTTGTGGTCTCTCACTTGAATATCCATAAAGGATCTTTGTGCCTTCTTCGGACACTTCTTGTTTCTGACCAGTGATTTCAGAATCAACCTTGGCCGTATGTTGGGCTACTCTCAGGTTGCCCTCTTCTGCTTAAAGCAGACGTTCCATCCTTTCTCTGCAAGCTGGAGTGTGATGAACTCCAGTGCCTCTCTTGCCAATTCTAGTGGCATCACAGGCGACACAACCAGCTGTGTAGCCATATTTGTCCAAATCACGTTTGGTGATGTAAAGTCGTCTTGTTGACTTCTTTGGTAACTCAAATGGCACTGATGGCGCCAGTGGCTGCTGATCTCCCTCAACAATCTGAGGAAGCAAAATGTCATCTCTTTTTGATGCCTGGGAATCCCAAGGAACCCCAGTGACTGACATCAACGTTTCGACATCATATCTGTCGTCAGCACTCTTGCGTCTAATGCTTTGCACAGTGAAAACACCTGATGCATTCCCCACTATCTTTTCAGTGGTATTGTCTTTGACTCCCAAGAAAACTCCTCGGTGCCATCTTTGTTCAAACTTGTGACCTCTTTTGAGGAATTCAATTGTTTCCCCAAATGGTGGTAATGACACTCTCCACTCACGACCACGGTGTCTAGAGTACGGTGTCTTCCCATCTTTGACTTCCAATGATCTGTGAAACAAATTGTAAGTGGTGCTAGCATGTTCAACCAACCATGTCAAAACTGGGTGGTCGTCTGGCACCTTTCTTCCATAGCTTGTCTCCAAGGCACTTCTCCATTGAGATTCAATAGCACTGCTCTTTCAATTTCCCCTTTGGATTCTGAGACTCCTTTGGGAACTTTTTCCAAAACCAACTGTTTGTCAAAACCATTCTTGGCTGCCTCAACTACGGAGTTGAGTGCAGGCTCTGGGTCATACCTCATGACCATCTTGGGGTACCCAAACTTCTTAAGGTCATTCAAAAGACACTTAGACCCAATAGGACCTTGGGTAACTCCCTTGTATGGCAAAACGTGTGCGTAGGTCAACTTGGACCATCGATCATGTACTATCAAAACTGGTGCATGCTTTTTCTGCACTTCCTCTGTGATGACAGTGTCATCCACTGAATTCATGAAACAATAGTCAGCTGAGATCACAGGAACTGTTTCATCTGAATGATCTACTTTGACATGTCTCATTGCCTTTGCCTTGCCTCTAATGCAATGTTCACACCAACTCCTAAAAGGATAATGGCTGACAAAATGCTCTTCTTTTTCTCTCTGCGTCGGCGCTGCTGCAGTTGGTAGTGCTTGAGAACCTAGCTTACTACTGCCCGGTTCATCATCTCCACTACCTGCGCTCTCTGTGGTTTCCACAGGACTTACGCCTTCAACCCTTCTATGGGCTGCCCATGAAAATCCATGGCTATCTTGAAGACTCCTCCAGTCATTGTGATTGGTACCTTCTTGGCTCCCCTTTGCAGGAACGATCCTTTGGGGCCGAAGGTCACTGTCCAGCCTTTCTCAACCAGCTTGGACACAGATAGCAATGGCTTTGCCACATCCATTGCCCGGAACTGTCCCACACCTTTGACTTGTGGGCCTCCTTTCTCACCCATTGTCACCATGGGGTTGCATATGCCGTGCACCTGGACTGGTTGTCCTGATGCATTGGTAAACGGCTTCTCATCCACAGGCGTCATAGCCAACTCCAAAGACTGTGCCATCTCCTTGGGTAGGCAACTGGTTGCAGCCCCTGAGTCAACGGTGGCCCAAACAATGGTATCCACCGGAGATGCCAAACTTCCCAGGAAGTCGAGGTTGGAGTCTGATCGAACTCCTCCTCCTGGTGAATGCTCCCTGAGCTTGGGAGATGGTGACTTCTCCTTCTTCTTCCTGACTTTTCTTTCCATAAAGTTGGCAGCTTCACGCACTGCCTTTTCCAAGAATCTCTTGGCACCTGTGCTGATTTTCCCCTTGCCCTTGGACGCCTGGGCTGAATCAGCCCGGCTGTCCTGAGGCGCTCTCGATGGGGATATGGACTTCAGCTCAATTGGTGCCCTGCTGGGTGACTTGTCATCCTCCTTCTCTGATCTCTCCTTCTCTTCTCTCTTTGCTTCTTTCTCCTTCTCTTTCTCCCCTGGCCTCCTGGGGATCTTCTTCACTTCAGGCTTCACATCATCTTCACCCTTGTACCTGAAGCGTTCATAGTGCTCCTCAAAGTGCTGCTTGCGCTTCTTCTTTTCTTCATCCTTAGCAATCTCTTGGCGCTTTTTCTCATCTTTGGCTTCTGCATCATCCATGGGGCGCTTCTTGGATGCCTCTCCTTCAGCCTTTGCTTCTCTTTCAGCCTTTGCTTGAAAGTGTTCTTTCTTCCAAAACTCCAGGGCGCGTTGAGGATAGCAATTCTTGCTCTCCACATGTTGCCAAAAGCTTGCAAGACTCATGGAGTTCAGTGCCTTTCCACATGCCTGGCACTTCACATAGGGATGTCCTTTGTTGGACACAGTTTTGGACTTCTCGTGCAACTCCTTGAATGACATGAGCTCTCGAGAGGAAGTCTCCCAATGACGATCTACATCTTCCATGCCTGGTGCAGGCTCCTGATTGAATGGTACATCGTCTGATTCGACCTCTTCCGATGATCCTAGGTCGAGAACTTCACCATAAGCCTTCTCATAGGCCTCCTTCAAGACATTGTCTAACTTGCTGAGAACTTCAGGATCTTTCTGCAGCTTCTCAAGTCTGCTGACAAATTCATCCTCATCAGTGGTCTCTTCAGAGGAAATCTCGAACTTGTCATGAATCCATTTTGGGATTCCTTCTTTGCTCATCTCCTTCGTCTTGTCCTCGTTGGCCTTCTTTCTAGCTTCATCTGCCCTTCGTCTTTCAGACCTGTGATGTCCTCCTCTATGGCGCTTGGGTTCCAACTTGCTTGCCTTGGGAGGTTCAGGAAGATCTCCAATGTCCTCCTTGTCCCACTTGTGAGGGTTGGCTTGTCCATGGGTTGCCAGCTCATAGTTCTTGAAGCTAGCTGTTCTATCTTTTGCAGTGGCTGCTCGATGACTAGCAGCTCTCTGCCTACTCTTTTCTGCTTTCCTGGCAGCTCTTGCATGTACTCCAGCATCTAGGTCGGCTTGCAACCGACGAGAGGGTGCAGCCGGTGCTGAAGCAGCACGGCCTTCTGCCCTCACTTTGGCCATTGCCTCTTTGGCGTCTTTCTGATGCTGGGCTGCCTCTTTCTTCAACTTGTCCAGGGCTTCTTGGCGTTCCTTAAGGGCCTGATTTGCTTGGAGCCCTTTGTCCTGAGCATCTTTGACAGCGCTCTCAGCCTGAGCAATCATCTTACTGAAAAGCTCCTTGTTGGACCCAGAAGCTGATGCCAAAGCACTCTGAGCCATCACCATAGCGCTCCTGGTCACAGTGCTCCTTGAAGGTGCTTGGAGTGTAGCTCTCCTTGGACTTCGACCACGACGAGGTGATTCCTCTTGAGCTTCAGACTTAGGCGGCATAGCGTCTTCCAAGGTAAACAGCGCAGTGACTTCTGTTTCAGGTTGGTCACCAGATGCTGCTGCTGGTTGTTGCTCTTGAGCCCAAGTATCAGACTCAACATTGGCAACTTTGCGACCTTTACCTTGATCACCTTTACCTTTACCTTTGTCTTGACCTTTCTTGCCTTTCCCTTTGCTCTTGGAGTCATTGGTGTTTTGTTTATGCCAAGACTGCTGATTCCAAGACTGATTGGTCCAAGACTGATTGTTTCCAGAGTTCTTGGTGTAGGTATTGTTTGACCAAGATGAAGATTGATTCTTCCCTTTGTCTTTACCTTTGGACTTACCTTTGCCTTTCCCTTTATCTTGTTTTCCTTTTCCCTTACCCTTAGCAAGGGAATCCACATCCATGGGAACGGCTCCTGACTTTGCTTCTTTCCTGGTCTCGACATTCTCGAGATAGGCCAGAACTTCAGCTTTCACCTGGTCATACGTGGTCAATCTCGAAGCCTGCAAGTCCAAATGATCTTGCAGCTTGTTGGGACACATTTGCTGCAGACAACTCCTGCAGATGTCATCTTCAAGTGGTTTCTTCCTCCTGTCTTCATACTTTCTTTTCAAGTTCTCCCAACTCTCAAGCCCTTCTCGAAGCTTATCAAGACTGCATTGACTTGGATGCAGAACCTTTTTCAACAAGGCTGAATTAGCTTGAGGATTTTGAGGATCATATTTGCACAACAGTCGTCTCATGGCTTCTAGGCCAAAGTGGCTACCACGAGATGTGTTCTTGACAATTTCCAACGCTTCTCCCTCAGTCAATGAGGGCTTGTCAAGCCTGAGCTGAAACAAGCTCACAGCATTCTTGTGGCAACTTTCAACCCAAGTCTTAAACTTGTACCACCAACTATCCCAAGTGCCTGATGCTCCAGTGAACTTATCAGGTTTGGGTATGCCTTTCAACTCTGATCTGTCTTTGTACTCAACAGACCTCTCAACATTTCTGTTGATCTGTAGCTGCTGGTTCATAGCCTCGGTCATTGCCTGATTCAGCTGCGCCTGACCCTGAGTCAATTGGGCCATCATCTGCATAACCATCTGGGACATGTTGGGACCGTTGGTCTGTCCTTGTGCTGGTGCTGGTGGAGTGCCTGGTTGCTGAGGTGGCTGCTGTTGCTGAGCCATCCTTAGTCGTTCTTCAGGTGCTTTGAGACCTGATTCAAGAGAACCCTTGGGTACCTTTGGAGATGCACTCCAAGGTTATGGAAGTATCTTTGGATTTTCCTGATTTTCAGGAGCTTGAGTGTCAACCTTTTCCAGTTGGCACGAGGTGAGCGCGCCAGAGCTGAATCAGCTCGGCGTCGACACCTACACATTCACAGCTGGGTATCAGAACCTCAGCTCCGCTACCATGAACAGAGAATTTGGGCTCTTAAATCTGATGAACACTCCTGAGCACTGTTCAGCACCTTTTCACTCAGTTAGCTCGAAGGTGGCTAAAAGCACTAAAATGGCTGCAGCACATATACAAACATATGTACTACATGTAACATGGTCTATACTGTACACATATCTGATCATTAGAAGAGACCAAAAAGATCAAAACGGGCCGTTCGTTGTAATTAGGGCCCTTTGATGTCCTTTGTCATTTGTCATTCTTCGTCCCAGGCACCTCGCAGCCAAGTTCTTCTAGAGGACCAAGGCTGCGATCTTTATCGATCTTTTCCAGCAACGTGGCACCAGTACTGAACGAAGATAAGCCAACTGCTGTCCTTGAGATCCTTGCAGTCCTTGGTGCAATCCTTGATACAGTCCTTGGTGCAGACTGTGCAGAGAACTTGGGCAACACGAAGCTTCGAGTCGAGAAGCCAAGCACTAGCCCCAAAATCCAAAGCCAAGAATGTTTGGCCATGGCTACAGGCTATGGCAGAGCCGGAGAGTCTGTGAATCTCCCTGGAATCAGTTGGAAACAGAACCTTTCTATCTTTGGATTCTTCAATATTCTTCATATTCTTTGAATCTCTTTGGTGCTTTTTGACCTGCGGCCCCTTTTGGGCGTGCTTAGTCCGCGCATGTCCGCGCATCGCAGTGCTGTGACGCTAAAGCTCCACTTGAAATGGAATGAATCTAACCTAGTGATCTACTTTTCTTTGGAGAATGTATGATCTGAAACGTGCGAAGGAGCTGCTTACTTTGCTCGTCATCTTCAAGCCCTTCTAACTTTGCTGGTCAGAAGCACCGGTCAAGCAAAGAGATACATCTGCAGAATCCAAAAACGGGCGGCTGGTGGAGCCATATCTATTCGACATGTCATCTTTGGCCAACTGTGGCCAATTTGTATAATGACTTGTTAGCGACAATTGATAAGGGAGAATATTTATATAGCTGTTTTCATGCTAAAGAGGCCCACGCAAAGCCTCGCCAACCGTCTTCCTGGTCCATTCAGTCGCTTATCTGCTCCATAAAGTATGGTTGCGGCAAATGCATGCAAATGCTACCAGTGAAGTCGGGAGGGAACTGTCTGGTGGAGCTCTTCTCCAGGTTTTTTGTTGAAAGGTTTACAGTGCTTTGATGAACGAAGTGTTTCGAAACAAAACCCACTATGTAGAAAGGGATCAACTGCCAATATCTGCCAACGCGTCAAACGAGAGATTCCATGCGCCACTTTTTTGCACCACCACATGACTTGCCTTTTTGACGCCCCTAACCTATGTCTCAGGAAGCTAACCGCTGCTCATGGTGATTCAGAGAATGATTGCAAAGTCATATTGCTGATAATGAAGTCGGTTGTCACATTCCAACTATAGACGTTTTTTCCCTGAAAAACTGCATCTGGAATGGATTTCAGGCAAAGAGCGGACTCCTCCTCATTGAATTCTGCGTGCAAAAAACGAAACTACTGGCGCCAATAGAGCATTACTCCTGCCTTGCTTTTCATCTAGACAAAAGGATCCCTATGATAATCACTGGTAATCTCATTCTCAACATTTTTCAATTTGGCTGGACTTGTTTTGGTTTGTTCAATCTTTGTTGATAAGACTGTGAATATTCGTGGATAAACATTAAAAGATTTTGCAAGGCAGAATGTGCTCAAACTTCCACCGCTGTTGGAGCCTTGGGATATCTTGGGATATGGCGTCATGGCAAGGTCTAGATCCAAGGTATGCCGAAGGTTTGCCGCCCCAAAGGATACACGGCTTCTAGACCGTTCTCAATCATCTCAAACTTCACCAAGTCTCAACATGTCTCAACCTTCTAAAATATCTAAAAGTCATCCAAACCCTCTCACCAAACCAACACAAACTTCTGAGCTTTAGACCTTTTCAGTCTTTTCAGATGTTTCAGCCTTTGCATCCACTGAATCACCTTCCAAAGAATCGGATCAACGTGAAATCTGAATTGACGACATGATGGAAAACTGCGATGGAAAGAGCGATGGCATTTGCGATGGGTTATCAACAACCATGCAGGAAAACTGTTTAAAACACATGGCAATGTTGGCAATCACTTGCCCAGAGACTTGGCCTTGAATTTCGACTTGCAACACTCTCCTTGCCAGTGCCTTCAGTTTTAGCTTGGATATCAACCTGCGGTACTTACACTAGCTTAAACATAATCATAGAAGTTATATAACTAAGTTATATCATATGAGTTATATCAGCGAGTCTGAAACAATTCCAAGGCCGTAAGGCAGCTCATCCTCGTGCAGATTCGCTATGAGGTTGTATGAGGTTGTATGAGGTTGTATGAGGTTCCCGCTCGGGCAAACGCTGCCTGGGGCTTTCTCGCCATTTGGTATTTGTGCTGGCTTCTCCTGCAGTTTGCTTAGAACATCTTAGAACCATCTGGATCAATGTCAAAAGCATCTTTACATCAGGATACATCAGGTTTTCATAGAATATCATGGAACATCACAACTAGACATATAGGACGTCTATCTGCTTTGATATGTTTTGACAATGATTCCTCTGGCTTGACTGCAAGCCAGAGGCTCTGCAGAGCAATGCAAAAGTGCCCTGCCTTCCCAAAGATTGGCACTTCCTTCATCATTGCGTCCGAGTTTTCACTTCCGCCTCCGAGGTAAACTCTCCACGAAACTCAAAAGCAAACAGTGCCCTCTGGGTGCATCCAATTTACAATAAGCAGTCTAAAAATGTCTAAAGCCTAATGAGCTCTTCGGTGCATATCAACAGGTAAGCCAATAAAGGCAATGGCACACCGATTGTTGATCCAGATTTGCAATGTGAGTGCTCATGTATCCAAGGTAAATTGAATACATGTATACAGTATATGTATTATATTATATACATATGATAATATATTAATATATATATATATTATTATATATATATATACACGGTATGTATATGTATATATATATAGACTCAATGTATTCCAGGCTGAGAACTCCACCTGTCGAAGGAGCAGCGTTCTCGGACTGAAAGAGCTGTTTCATCCTGAATTCTGAATTCATATGAATTCCAAACGGCCAAGGATTAGAATTTTCCGATCTCAACCGCCTCTGCCCACATTGTTTTCCCGAAGCTTCTTTCACTGATTCCTCTTACACCGAAAAAAACACATCGACCTTCTGGGAAAAGGAACAGAATGCAATCAGCAAATGATGAAAACTCACAATGACCCTGGTATTTGTGTCTGGAAACATATATGTGTGTATGTATTTACAGACAATTCAAATATACATATACACATAATGTTCAAAACGTGTAAAACATGCTGCCAGATGTTGCCAGCACAAGTCTTGAGTTGTTCCACATTGTTCCCAAAAGGAACAATAGTAAAGTAGGTAGTTAACTAGCGTGTCATTTCAATATGTTTCAATATCAAGATTGTCAAGTAGTACCTCGTCCTGGGTGGCTCAAAAGGATCTTAAAAGTCCACGAGGACCCGATGGGGTTTCCGCCTTTCAGGTCCGATGAGTTCCCTGAGGCCGTTCGCCTGGTGGGCAGCAGGTCTGCTATAGTCTGCTATAGTCTGCTATAGTCTGCTGTAGTCTGCTAAGCTGTTCCATGCTGTTCCTAAGATTTCCTAAGTTACTTGTAGAATCTTGTAGATCTCCCAACACCGGTGAGTTGGCTTGCTTGACATTGAAAACACCCATCTACAGCTCTGACAATACTGTAGATAGGTGGGTGCCCTGTGTTTGTGCATTCTGAAGTGTGCATAAATCAAGGAGCATAGAATGTAGACTCCACTGTAAATTCTGAATGCGATGTATGTTTGTGGTGTCATGCGCAATATGAACGAGACAAAATAATGCAACACAATGCAATGTAATGTCTTGATGGCTTATGTATTATGGTGCAACATTACATGTACCTGGATGCAATGTGACGCAACTTAGCGTAACCTAACTCTGTGAGTTAATGCACTGTAAGACAAAGGAAAGCAAGTGTCCTGTAGTTTTGTATAATTTAAGGTCAAGTATACTGTAGCATTTTTAGGGTTCTGTTTCTAAAGCAAGCAAGCTCTTGCCTCACTCTTCACTTTCTCTTGAATCTTTCCAAGAGCCTGAACTTTGAGATGCGGAGATCCTACAAAGCTCTCTTTCAGCATGTCACCATCATAGATGTGAGCACTTACGGCTGCAAGCCGCCCTGTCGCAAAAATCATGCCACCCGACCTGTGCAAAAATCATGAAAGTCTGTAAAAATTATGAATTATTCAAAACATGCTAACATCTTTTGGCTGGACAAGAAAAAAGGGGTGTCTTAAGCAGCTCAGGTTTATTCCAAATACAGAAATAAATATGTATACTGTGTATTATATATATATGTGTGTGTTATATATATATAATTATATATATAGTATGTTATATATATATATGTGTTATATATATATTATTATATATTACATTTTCAACTTGTCGCATCAAGAGCATCGGATCGGCACCTGCTGCAACTGCTGACTCTCCACAGTCTTCAAAGCCATCTGTGCCTTCAAAGACCTCCGTAGCTCTGAGCTGCCGACTTCGTCGTCACGAAACGAGCAACGCTACGCCGCTACACGTCTCTACACACTTCAGAATTTCTGGGGCAGCTGTGGCTTCCCAAGCTGATGCTCTGAACCATGACGAATGACGAATGATGAATGATGATGATTATTATTATGATTATGATTATTATTATGATGCTTATTATTATTATGGTGCTGATGCTGAATGCCAATGCGACATCAAGGTGGTAAATGTGGTAAATGTGGTAAATTGCCAAATCACCATGTAATGTAGCAATGTTGGAAACAGGCTGGGAACCTGGTTCATGCAGCATGAGCTTGATATGAGTGATATGAGCTTGATACAGTGTATAGAGACATGCTAGGATGGCTTGTATATATTCAATATATGATGATCATTGAATCATTGATGATCTATGGCTTGCTATGTTGGCATTAGCATTGGCTGCCACAAGAAAGTCAACACAGTCTGTGAGCTCGGCTTCGCCAAATCCTGCTTCGGCTGGAGGATAAACATCTTTCCAACCTTGCCACATCTTGCCACTGTGTCTGATGCAAATTTTGATCCTGATGATTTTGCAAAAGCGAAAACCTGAAGAGTTCTACTCAGTTCTACTCTCAATTCAGTCAAATTCTAGTGAACGCCATCAATATGCAATCATGTGCCAAGAAATCTGATAAAATTGCAGCAAGCTCAGCCATTGTCTTGTTTGTTCATCGCCACTGAGACGGTCCGAGACACTTTGAAGTTGCAGACATAACTTAAATACTGGTACTGGCTATTACATGCCATTACAAGTACCAGTCTCAATTACCAGTCATTAGTAATCATTAATTGCCTAAATGTTTTGGCAAGACCATCCAGCGCCTGTCTGTAGACCTTGAGATTTTCAGGCAATGGCTTTAGTTCCTGCAAAGTCGCTGCAGACTTTGGAAGAAATGACTTGATGGGCCCATCTCCCCTTTGCAGAATGTGGA